AGAAGAAAAAGAAGAAAAAGAGGAAGAGGAAGAGGAAGAGGAAGAGGAAGAGGAAGAGGAAGAAGAAGAAGAAGAAGAAGAAGAAAAGATCAACGACAACAACAACAAAATAAAACAACATAAAACAAGAGTTTTTTCAAAACACGTAATCATGTACAAACCATGAAAGACACACATTATAAAAACAGAAATACTACCAACAACAGGTGTTAAAAAGCTTTCATGAAGCAGGTCAACTTCAAAAGGCCACACGCCTGTCCCTTTGGACATGTGGGTAGCCAAGTCTCGATTATCATTCTCTGACAGGTCCTACAGAAGTTCAGGCAATCCGACGCTCATTCTGCGAATGAAGTATGATAGCTTTGGAATTAACAGTTGACATAATTTATTAGGCATCGTGTTAAAATCAGTCACTCTTCAAAATTATGAAATCGAAGAAACAGACATTTCTTTGGCCTGTTTGGCAGCTTTTACAATCGATTTGGGGGGAAGGGGTGGGGACTCAATATCTTTCAGGTCCATATAAAACGCATTTCTATATAGATTTTTACTGGGAAATAAACCAAAAGAAAAATTTAATTTATTGCAGTTTCCAGGGACTCTCAAATTTTGAAAGTCACCAAACTGTGACGAATATTTTCTACCTCTGACATCAGGCGATACCCACTTCCTTCAATCGCAAACATAATGTTCACTTCTATTTCTATTCAAGATAGATGGCTACTTTCTTTTTTTTAATTATCAAAGCAAGACTAACGAACATGCTTTAAGATGATTCCAATAACTCGGTATGCTTAAAAATGATTGATTCCATCGCATCGTGGCATATTTTGTAATTCCTTTGCATTGAACTGCTCACATATTATTTGAATGCAGTGTAAAAACACTGTCGATCATCTATCAGGCAATAAATACATTGTTGTTACATTGAGCTTTTCTTCTCCTCCCTGGTTAAATTACAGCTTAACCGTTGTCCCACCACTTTCTTAAAAAAATCGAACAAGAGAAAGCATTCTAAAAACAATGCGAAAGTAAAGTATAAAATTGTTATGCTAGATCTCAGAGGTAGTTATTTGCTGGTTCTTCACCCTGCAGTGCAACTGATTTTTTTATGGATATGTCTGTTTTATCCACTTCGTATGGCCCCTTTCCTTCAGGCAGTCAAACTCCGATTTTGAAAGCCCTCTATGTTTTTCTAGTTACTAGAGTATTATCAGTTTTGGAAGGAATTAATTTACAATTTTTGCCCGGGTGGCGACTGAAGCCTTTTCTCATCGATTTTAGGACCACCAAGGGATCTTATACGTGCGCAACATGCACACATGACCTCCGAGAATTTTCGCACTTATCCGAAAAGAGTAGGTGTTCGATCTGACCTAATTCAAGGTCAGGGGTGTGGCTGAAAGGAAACTGTTAAAAGGAGCCAGGAGTAGCAGTAGAAAGAGCCAGGAATAAAGAAGAGAGTAGCCAAAATGAGTCTGGAATAATAATAATAATAATAATAATAATAATAATAATAATAATAATAATAATAATGATATTAATAATAATAATAATAATAATAATAATAATAATAATAATAATAATAATAATAATAATGATACTAATACTAATGCTAATACTAATACTACTTCTAATAATAATGATGATGATGATGATGATGATGATGATGATGATGATGCTGATGATGATGATGATGATGATGATGATGATGATGATGATGATGATGATGATGATGATGATGATGATGATGATGATGATGATGATGATGAAATAATAATAATAATAATAATAATAATAATAATAATAATAATAATAATGATAATAATAATATCATTATTATCATTGTGTTATCGCTTTGCCTACCAGTCAGCACAGTAAGGCGCACTTGATGTTGTCTCCACGTTGAAAAGTCTACTGGCGAGCGTTCTGTCACCCGAAGCCTCATACCCATACCCCGGAGTGGGGCAGTTGGGGCACTGGCATGCCTGACAGCCACGTGAGAGGACGCTGGCCACTGTAGAACAGGTCTGCACGGGGAACTCACAGACATTGTTGCTGATGGTGGAGATATAGAAGAGGTAGGCTCGGCTGTGGGAGCACGCGAACTCCCTCGAGAAGGCACTAAAGTCTCTACCTAGAGTCCAGAAAAAAAAAGAAATAAGAGAAATCAGTACGTGTCACGACACGATGGAATTATAAGGCATTGGGAATTATTGGTATCATCTTAAAGTTTTATATTTATCTAGCTTTTGGTGAAATAAAGCCTGTTTAACTTGAATAAATGGCGAGATACTTGCAATTGAAAGAGTGGGGGTCGTCTGTTGTCAGAGGTAAAATTAGCGAGAAAATGTTTGGTAACTTCGACAGCTTGAGTGTCCTCGGAAACTGTCAATATCTTTTGTTTTCGACTTCATGTGTGAGACCTTGTGACCTATTCCTTATCGATTCGGCTTGAGTACGGTATTCGGTACTTTGTTACCGCAAATTAGATGTAACAAAATTCGAATCAATATGGCGTTGCTACAAATGAGATACCTTCTATTGACCAAAATATTATACGGCGATAATAAATGTCTTTTTTAACTTCCTGAAATTGCCGTAAGTGGAATTCTCCCCATCCTCTCTCTATATGACATCAGCATTCGTGCGTTCCTTTTATCTTGTCCATTATGCTGCTCATGTGAGTGAGGCAGCCCACATCTGACCAGCCCTGTACATTCCAGCTTGAAAAAGACAGCGCTCATCATCTCCATCCTTTCTCGCCCTGTACTGAGGTAAAGGTAACCCAAAGAGCTTTAGTCTATTTCTAACGTAGGCTATAGTCTCCGCCTCTGTCTAGCTGCAATCACACCAGTTTTAGGCCCAAAGCTAAGTCTCTCCTCCAAGTTCTTGTAAGCCTTCCTCTCTTTTGCTATCCTTTGCTCGTGTTATTTTTTCGAAATTGCGAAAACACGTACATACATTCACTCAAACACCTTTCTACAAATCTTTTTTCCTTTAGCACACCATGGCTTCAACAGGATTGTCCTACATTGCTTACGTACTATGGTACACACAGACACAGAAAAACTGACTAAATCGCAGTCAAGTACATAGACAAATTATAAACTCACTTTGCTGTATGGCCGCAGCAAATCTGCCCAACAAGGTCGATCCACATCCTGGCTGTTCCATTCCTCGGTTCAGGTAGAAGTCCACAGTTCCAAGTGGTTCCTCAAGACCTGTCAATTTATATACAATTGGTCATCAATGAACCTTAATACTCATTATGGTTGAATTTTACGAAGGTGAACATTTTGCATTTCACCCAAAGTGGTGAATTTCATTTGAAAGCTTAAATTTGTTCCAACGTTTGTTTTATGTATATGTATTTATATATATATATGT